TCTCTCTCTCTCTCTCTCTCTCTCTCTCTCTCTCTCTCTCTCTCCATATACTGAAACAACATCATTCATTTTTAACAATTTCCCTTCAGTAAAAATTCTAGTCTAATGCCAGGTTGTGTCTTTAGTCAGATATCTTTAGCTTTCTTTAGGCTATTTCTTTTTTTTAATTTTTTATTTATTATTTTTATTTTTTTCTGTGTATGAGTGTATTGTCTGTATGTATGTAAGTGTGCCTGTGTCATTCATTGCCCATGGAGGTCAGAAGAGGGGGTCAGATCCCCTGGAACTGGAGTTTCAGATGTTTGTTAGCTGCTGTGTGGGTACTGAGAACCAAACTGAGGTCCTCTGCAAGAGCAATCAGTCTCAACTGCTGAGCCATCTCTCCAGCCCCTCTTTAGGCTATTTCTACAGCATTGCTTTGTCTTTTATAACCTTGATATTCTTAGAGAATGCAAATCCTCTCTCCCCAACCCTGACCCTTCCCACCGTCTTTTTATTACTTTTCATAAAACATTCTTCATTTTATCTTTGTCTGGCATTTCCTTGTGATTAGAATGATGTTGTGCATTCTTAGTCAGACTAGATGGTCTGACCATCATACGCTCATACTCATACCAACTGACCTGGAACTCACTATGTAAACCAGGCTGGCCTTGAACTCTCAGAGACCTGCCTGCCTCTGCCTCCCAAGTGCTGAGACTAAAGGGGTGTGCCACCACACCAGGCACACAGTGCTAATTTTATTTACTTAGTAAATTTTTCTTATTCATAAGCACCCTATGGAGAGACATTTTAAGGATATACATAGCCTGTTCCACATCAAAAATTTCCCCTAGACAACATTCTTGATAATTTTTGCCTTATATAATTTTTATCATTATGGTTAGAAAATAACTTTTCCAATCCCAGCACTCCACACACATTTACCAGTTGGCCCTCAGCTTTCTACTCAAAGCAAGGGCCTGCCTCCTCCCTCTTCTTTGTATACTTGCTTGTAATCTGTTTATTATTGGTATTGTCATAAATAATTTATGATACATATTTTATTTATGGCACTAATTTCTTTTTCCAGCAGTTTACAATTTATTACTGTACTTATTTATTGGTTGAATTGTCCCAGATTTGGCTAGTTGGATGGCTCTCACATCTGCTCTGTGTGGGACAAGATTTTTAACATAACCTCTGATTCTAGTTTGTGTTCATTACAAGTAGTATCTTTATACTTTCTTATACCTAATTTGATGAATGAAATGGACAAGGCATTAAGCAAAATAATTCTGGGAGATCAATGGACTTGGTTTAAATAATTAATAGCACAAAACAATCAAAGCATCTAACTATAGCTGTCTTAGAGTAGTCCCCTTTTAGGCCTATAGGATGAGGTCATTCTTTTCATGTTCTCTAGCCTTAGTGCTCCACTCTTCTGGCTCTTAAAAGGCCAATTGATGTATGAGGTCATTCCCTCAAAATGAGTTCAGGATACAGAAGCAAACTAATATTCCTTCCCTTCCCCTGGGAAGACATGTGCCTATATGAGGTTCAGACCATCTAAGAACTCCAGTAGTCATGTGGAATTGTATCTATAAGGAAGGCTAAGGGGATAATAACCATAACCATCTTCATTAATTTTTTATGATAGTGATGTTGTAGAACTTAATCTTTACTAAACTAGCAAAGACAATAAATAAAAATCCAGACTCATTTTTTTAAATATTTGTTTTTTTTATTTATTTTTACATTTTATTATTTTAATTTTATGTGTATGAGTGTATTGCCTGCATGTATGTGAGTGCACCTGTGTCGTGCAATGCTGCGGAGGTCAGAAGAGGGCTTCGGATTCCCCTGGAACTGGAGTTAAGGATGGTTCATGGCCGCCATGTGGGTGCTGGGAATTGAACCCGGGTTCTCTGTGAGAGCAGTCAGTGCTCTTAACCGCTGAGCCATCTCTCTAGCCCTTATTATTTTTATTTTATGTGTATGCTTGTATTGCCTGCATGTAGGTAAGTGCGCCCATGTTGTGGAATGCCCACAGAGGACAGAAGAGGCTGTCAGATCCCCTGGAACTGGAGTTATGGACAGTTGTTAGCTGCCATGTGGGTGCTGGGATTCAAGCCCAGGTCTTCTGCAAGAACAGTCAGTGTTCTTAACTACTGAGTAATCTCTCCATCCCCAAGACTCATTTATTTTTAAATGATATGTTTTCCTTTATTTATGTATTTATTACATTTATTTATTTTGGATATGTGCATATATGTGTAGAGATCAGAGGACAACTTTTAGGTATTGGTTCCTTCCTTCCACCATGTTGATTGCAGGGATCGAACTCAGGTTGTCAGGCTTGCTGGCAAGGACTGCTACCTGCTGGGCCATCTTGTCACTTATCATTTCTTTTATAATTGAGAGATTGTGTTCTATACATATATATTCACTGTGTACTTTTTTCATATTCTAATAATTCTGTTTCCTTCTGATAGAAAATATTTAATATTTTACCTAAATAAAAATCTCAGTTTCTTGGAAATAATTCTACATTTCTTTCCTAGCGCTACCTTGATGAAGCAGACAGAGATAAGGAGCGTTACATGAAGGAACTGGAGCAGTATCAGAAGACTGAGGCCTATAAGGTCTTCAGTAGGAAAACCCAGGACCGCCAGAAAGGCAAATCTCATAGACAAGGTATCAGAACCTAGTGTAGTTTGCATTGCATGATGGAATGCCATAAAGCCAACTGTTAAAGTGCAAATATGAAAGATGCATTTCTGTCATTTTCTATTCTCCTATATTACTTACAGTTACCACCTTAGACTTTATTAAAATCACATCACTCTCATTTAGACATTCTGATTGGTTTTCCCTGTCATATCGAAGATCAACAATCTGGCTTATCCACCAAAACCACTATTAGTACCCTGCCCTTCTTTTCCTAGTTCCAAATTTAAGCATTTCTCTGCCTGCCTTTAAACAAGTCTCCTAAACCAGGTAACTGGCTTGCTCTAATACTTTTAAGCCTTTTATGTGTGATTTTTTTTTCCAGCCTCCATGATCCTCTTCATTCATTAATTTATTCGTGCATGAATTCTAAAATGATCTGCATGTGGTAGTGCACAATTTTATTCCCAATGTCTGAGAGGCAGAGGCAGATAGATGGAGCGTGAGACTAGCCTAGTCTAGTAGCACATTCCAAGTCAGCCAGGGCTACATAGTGAGCCCTGTCTAGAAAAATAAAAATCTATTGAGCATCTTCTGTTACCAGTCAGATTCTCCTCTAGGCATTAAGGATGGAGGAAAACAAAAGACATAATCTATGTCTCCATGAATTTTTTTTTTTATTTAATGTATATGGGTGTAGTGTTTGCATGTAGGTAGATGCACCTGTGTCATACAGTGCCCACGGAGGCCAGAAGAGGGCGTCGGATCCCCTGGACCTGGAGTTACAGATGTTACAGTTACAGTGTTAGCAGTTACAGTGTTAGCCACCATGTGGGTGCTAGGACTTGAACCCAGGTCCTCTGCAAGAGCAGCTAGTGCTCTTAACTGCTAAGCCATCTCTCCAGCCCCCATGAGATTTTTTTTTTTACTCTGTTAAAATGGTTCATCACATCCTTAAAAGTATTGCTTCAAGTTCTTCAGAAAGCACTGCCAAAGGCACACCACCCACACTAGTCTGTCATTCTTTAGCCATGGCATCTTCTCCACACTTGGGCACGTAAGCTACTAAGAACTTTTGGTATGTGTCTCCTACTTATGCTCCCACCCTGTTCTCCCAAAGGTAAGAACTGTGTCTGCTGCTGTCTTGTGCCTCATTATGTATTCTGTAGGTATGGGGTTCCATTTAACTTTTGTTGACTGATTAGTTAATAATGCCATGAGTGAAAATATATGCTGTGAGAGTCCACAAATATTGGCAGGTTTTGTGGTTACCACAGTCATACACTGGGGTTTTGTTATTGTTTTCTTTTTCAACTTAATGTTTTCTTTATTTCATATTTTCAGATGCAGCCCGACAGGCCACTCATGATCATGAGGTAATTAGCCTTCTGGGTACATGTCACATATATATTTATAATAATATTGACTATTTTAAATGCTGTTGCTTTTTATTTTTTCATGAATAGCATAGTGTTTTTAATCCCATAATTCATTTTAGGTAAGTTGCTTTGGCTCAAGGGTTCCTACCATATGCCAGACACTTAACGTCGTGAATTTGTCTTTGAACTACAGTCCCTAATCCCAATCTGTTCCTGTAATCTAAGAATTTTATTAGCTTCAAATACCGAAAATGGTTAGAGTACAGAGTAAGATGGAGACATGAGAGCCAGCTAAGGGCTTCAACTTGGCCATAGTTTATCATCAACAAATACCATCATCTCACTTTCAGAAAGGTTTTATTTAGGAACTCCAGCATTTGGTCATAGAGCACAACTGATGGAGCTCTGTTCCTGTACCTCCTCTCCTGCTCTCTCACTTGCCAGTACTCTTCCCTCTGGTTTGCTTCAACCCTATCGATAGAATTTAAGCCAGTGTTCCTATATATGTCTAAGACATAAGTCTGTATGTTTGTGCTTCAAATATATGCTATGTGCTTCAAATATAATACATAGGCCATTAACATAGAATTCTAAGAAAGTAAAATCTCTGGTCATTCCGTGCTTTATAATGTCAGTGACTCATCTTCACTTACCAAAACATAATTCACTCAGCCATCAGGGTCTTCATGCTTAGTCCCAACTTCTCCTTTCAAATATCTTAAAAAACATTCTGCTCACAGTGTTGGAGAGATGGCTCAGTAGTTAAGAGTACTGGCTGTTCTTGCAGAAGACCCATGTTCAGTTCCCACCACCCACATGGTGGCTAATAGCTGTCCATAACTCCAGTTCCAGGGAATCCAGTGACCTCTTCCAACCTGTGAGGGGATTGCACAACACAGGTGCACTTACATATAAGATAAAAATAATAAAATATTTTTTGAAAAAAATCATTCTAGATGCCCCACTCTTCTCTGCCTTATCCTGTGTTCTTAGCATTCTTTTCATGAGAATAATTTCCCTTCCTTGTATATTCCTTCTCTCCAACTTTTTATTGCCGCCTCTGAAAATTGTAGTCATCCTTCAAACCCTACTTAGGTTCTATTTCCTCCATCAAAGTGTATTTGTCTTCTCAGTTTTCTTTAATCTTCACAGTTTGCCGTACTTGTCCTGTACATTTAGCTGTCTAGCCTGATGTTCGAATCTTCCAAATACTTCTGTTGTTCACATTCCCAGATGATGCAGGATATCTCTGAGAACCCATACTTTCTGTCCAACCTTATACCACCCAGCATGGTGCTCATACATGGAGGAGATAGATACTTTTCTTATAAGAACCCAAAGTTGACCAGAAGTAGCAGTGGGAATTTAAACAAAATGGTTTTCAGGCTGAGGAGATAGCACAGTCAGTAAATTGCATACTGTTTGATCCCCAGTACTCATGTAAAAAGCTGAGTGCGGTGCAAATGCTAGTGATCTCAGCTCTGGGGAGACGAAGACAAGCAGATCTCTAAGTGCTAGTAGGCAGCCAGCCTAGTCTAATTGGAAAGCTCCAAGCCAATGAGAAACCTTATCTCAAAAAAACAGTGGGTAGTTCCTGAAGACCACACCTGAGGTTGACCTGTGGCCTCCACTTGTACACATGCACACTTTTCACCCACACAACTACACACCACAGGTACGCACAAAGCAGTTTTCTTAAGTACTTCTATAGGTATTTGTTTTTTTACTAAAGTCATGGAAATCATTTCTTCAAATTAATAACTTACTTTTCTTGAAGTTGTAGTTCTCATACCTAATTTGGTATTTGGTGACCTTTAATACCTAGAAGATTCAGATTCATAATCAAATACTATTCAGAAATTATAATGTGGGAAACATAGTAAATATTAGCAATTTTAGTCTTTATATATAAAGTCTCTATATATTATATATTTTTTCTTTCTTTTTCTCTCTTTCTTTTCTTTCTTTCCTAGTTACTTTATTGCTGTGCTTAAAGACACTGCCCAAAACAAACTTGGGGAGGAAAGGGTTTGTTTCACCTTCAGTTTACAGTTCATCATGGAGGGAAGCCAGGGAGGAGCTCAGGGCAAGAACTGAAGTACAGACATGGAGGAACGCTGCTTACTGGCTTCCTCCCCTGGCCTCTGCTCAGCCTGCTTTCTTATATAACACAGAACCACTGCCCAGGGATAGCACCACCCACAGTGGGCTGGGCCCTCCCATATTACTCAGTAATCAAAAAAATGTCCCCCAGGCCAGTCCAATGGAGGCCATTCCTCAGTTGAGGTTTCCTCACCCAGGTGTGTCAAGTTGACAACTGAAGCTATCCAGCACAATATCTTCTTGCTGTATCCAACATCTTTATGATCTAATTAGGATGAAGTATTATGAATACTGTTTTTCTTGAGGAACTTTTCATGTTATACTTTGTACTTTAAATGATAGCAAGCTTTCCATATTACCAGGTACTCTCCTAGACTCCCTACTTGTTTCTCTCTTCCTTGGTCTGTGTTCCCATCCAACAATATCATGAAATGCTTGTACTTTTTCCCTATTTGCTTGCTTCTCTGTCTTAATGATTACAGAGCAGATCTGAACAGTAATCTGAAACATAGATCTCACATTCTCTTATCAATCACTGACTCATTTCATCAATATGAATATTCCTGGCCAGATAATGTGACATTTTTGTCCTTGGTACTGTTAATAGTTTTAGTCAGAAAAGAACAAATTTAATCAGTTGCATAAGTTACTACTCCTGATTTGAAAAAAAAAAAAAAAAAAGCAAAGAAGGAAAGAAGTTAGGTGAAGAACTAGCAGTGCTTAACAATGTTTATTCAGCAGCTTCTATAATCTTTCTCATTAAACCCACACCACAATAAGGTTCTCATAGATTGTTGATCCAGTTAAGTCTCTCACTTTATCAATTTTTATTTTTTATTGAATGTTTTCTAAATGAGATAATTCCGCAATAATTGCATTGTAAGAGCACTGATTTGAAAGTTTTTAGATTTTTAATTTGGTACAATAATTTTTCACATATAACTGCTTAATATAATGGCAATTTTTTTAAAAAGTGAAAAGCGACCACAGAAGGCCTGGTGGTAGGACAGAATTGAACCAGGCATCAAGGTGACCCAGGCATATGTGTATGTTTGTGAAGTGGTATGAGAAAGGTAACAAAAGAAAAAATATCTTTTGAAATACCTAAAACATAGATTCTAAATATATGTTTATTTCTCTTATGAGGAGTGAATGAGAACTGCAGTTGAGCAGACTTGGAGTCCGTCCTAGAGTACTAAGGTCCCAGAGTGCTTCTCAGCTGCCCATTTTGTCAGCAAGGGAGGCGACTTGCCCAAGACAGGAAAGCTTCTACTCAAGCTAAGTTAGAGGCAGAAGCATAGCTAAAGCCCAAGCCTGCATCCCATTTGACCACTGTTGACAGCTCAGTGCCATGCACAAAAAACAAACTGAACAGTATCACCAAAACTGGGTTGCTAATGAAGACAGAAGTGATCAGTTTCTGTAAAGATAGAAATTCTATTTCTTTTTAAATGGAGCTGAGATCTCTAAGTCATTGTTATGTGGCAGGTACAACAGAGTGTGAACAAGAGCCAACAAAATGCTCTCCTGAAAGCCATTAGGCACAGCAGAAGGGCACTGCAGCCTAGCCCATGGGAATAAGATTGATCCCCAAGTAAAGGGCACTTGAGAGATGTGTAGCCTACTCACTGAATTCTAGCCCCGAGCCTAGATCTAGATCACAGGGAAAAATAGATTCTGCCCTCCACTCAGTATATAGAATGGAAAACCAAAGTGAAGAGAGTATTTTTATTTTCTCAGATGAAAAGCCAGCCCACTAGGCCTGGGAGTCAGTGAGTGTCACTCTCAGGAAAATGTGTTCATGTCGTGTGAGGACTAAGATAGAAACAATAATTCTGTTTCTCCTTTTATTTATGAGAAATGACAAAATGACACTCAGCCTGAACAAATTAGACCCTTCCCATGAGGAAGTAATCAAATCCTTATGATTTTAATCCCTTGAGCAATCCTTAGAGCAGCTTAAGTATATCCAAACCCCCAGGAGGATCCTCTCTATGCCAAGTAATGTACTCAGTAATGGAAGAGTGCTGATGGTTTTTATTACCACTCTTCCGTTAAGTAGAATTTCTCTATTGCGTTCAGAGGCTGAACAGCTTCATTTAATTGCTTTAATGTTTCTTATTTTGTACTCTAAGAATCTTTACCAAAGAGCAGTGTGTAATGCACCTGGGTTCTGCTAGCCTCCGCCCTTATATAACAAGTTGGGTTTGGATTGTTCTGGCAAAGAAGAGAGTGGAATTACTATTCTGCGGAGAGTCGAGACCTTGCAGAAAGCACTTTGGGCCATGGTAATGGGAACCAAGCACCCTTTGCCACCCTGAGTGGCAAATACTGGGACCTGTGGTGAGGTGACTGTACATACAGTTAAGTAGGAAACTGAACAAGGTGAGGTGACCATATCCTAAGTCAGTTGTAGACTTCGGATTGGACCTATTGTGCTATGTGCATGTGGGGATTGTGTGTCGTAAGTTTCCTGTCACAACTGAGTCACAGGGTTAAAGCCTATAGTAAGCCTGCAGGGTCTATAGATAGCTACTGGGAATTTGGCTAAGATCCCTTTCAAAACCAGCCTTTTTTCTCCTAATTAGTTTCATTAAAGTGCACTAGGAACTGTCTTGATATGGAGCTGGGCATGTTGAAATTTGGGGGTTTTAATGGTATTTTGTTATTTTTAAATTGGTGGGAAACTTTGCTTTCTTCCATTAGGAAGGAAGAAAAGATGGAGTAAAAATTAAGTGCCCTGAAATGAAATGTTCTTGGGTTGATCCATAGTTTTTCAAATTTCCTGGGATTACACACATCTACTACCAGATTTCCATCATCTTAAATACTGTTCTGGTTTGTTTCTTCGCTGCTGTGACAAAATACTCTGACCACTACCAACTTGGGGAGGAAAAAATTTATTTATCTTACATATTTCAGGTCACAGTTCATCCGGGAGCCCGAGGTAGGAACTCAGGCCAGGAACCTGGAGGCAGGAGCTGGAGCACAGGCCATAGAGGAATGCTGCTTACTGGATTGCTCCCCTGGCCCCTGCTCAGCCTGCTTTCTTATGCAACACAGGCCCATCTGCCCAGGGGTGGTACCACCCACAGTGGGCTGGGCCCTCCCACATCACTCATCATGAAGATGCCCCTTAGACATGGCCATAGGCCAGTCCAATAGAGGCAATCCCCCAATTGAGGCTCCCTCAACCTAGGATGTCAAGTTGACACCAAAGCTATCCAGCACAAATACCTTGTTGTTGTTGGTTTTTTGTTTTTGTTTTTGTTTTTTTCTTTTGGTCTTTGTTGAGACAGGGTCTCCCTGTAACCCCAGCTGGCCTGGAATTCAGTATGTAGACCAGACTGACCTTGAACTGACAGAGATCTGCCTTCCTCTGCCTCCCAACTGCTGAGATTAAAAGTGTATGCCACCACACCCAGCTTAAATATCTTATCTTGATCTGCTGCCATCAACAGGCATTTCACACCACTCAGCCCCCTTCCTAGGCAGATACCAGTGTGAAATGGTATCATGGCTGTCAGGATTTCTTCACAGGTTATGAACTGCTTAGTTTTTTTAATGGACCCCAAATCATTTTTGTGCTCAAAGATAAAAACTAGTAGTAACAAGTAGAAAAGATACATTTTATCTCTAGCCTTAAACATGTTTATATAGGAGTAAATTCCAGGTATTCTTTACTGCTTTTCCTGTTTAAAGATTTTTAAGTCTTCTGGTTTCATACAGTTTCTTCAGTACTCTCAAGGTTTTGAATGCCATGCCCAAACGCCTATCATTCCTATTCATTGTGCTTTCAACTTCACATTCATTATAGAAATGACAGCCAAGGAACCCTGAAATACTGACTCTGTTCTTTTTTTTTTTTAATTTTTAAAAATTTTATGTGTATGAGTGTATTGCCTGTAAGTATATATGTAAGTACACCCTTGTCGTGCAATGTCTGAGGAAGTCATAAGAGGGCATCAGATCCCCTGGAACTGGAGTTACAAATGTTTGTTAGCCACCATGTGGATGCTGGGAACTGAACCTGGGTCCTCTGCAGGAGTAGCCAGTGCTCTTAACCACTGAGCCATCTCTCCAGTCCCATTGACTCTATTCTTAAGGATCATGGGTGAATGTATTTTGCAGTGATTTTATAAGACTATTATCGTAATGTTTTTATTGGTGCATTAATTTTCAGGCTTTGTTATTTTCTATCACATAATCCTTAGATTTTTCATTTGTAAAGCCTGGTTATTTCTGATTTCTTGGATTTGTTTATTTTTCTATGTCTGAAGAAAAGTCTACAAGAGCCCCAAAGATAGAGTGCCCCTTCCTAAATAAGAGTCCCAGTAGAATGCCATCATTATTGCTCATGACTGGTAGCTCTCTGCTTAAAATGCATACTGTCTACTCTGTAAATTTAGATTGCATAGTCCTGTCTCCATGTTTAAATGCATAACCAATAGAAATTATTGAAAACACCATTTCTCAATTCCTGGCCCAGCCATATTCACAGCTATATACTATTGACTAGTCAAAGCAACAGCTAAGCAATGGCTGCTCCACTAGAGAAGTGTATGTATGTAGGTTTGCTTTAAAGTTTCTCCCTACACAGCAGTCATACACCTAAGAGAACTGATACCCAATCTGCTCTGTGCAAGTTCAATTCCAGTGAGAAGGTGAATATATTCCCCTCCCAGCTCTCCTGGACTGATTCCTATTCACCAACTATTTCTCCAAGGAAGACATGACCATTGTGCCTCAGGCACTGTTATTTAATTTAGCTTCTAAGAATTAACTTTGTTCTTCATTCACAGAAAGAAACAGAGGTAAAGGAACGGTCTGTTTTTGACATCCCTATATTTACGGAAGAATTCCTGAACCACAGTAAAGGTGATTATTACTGCAGTATTTATTTTTTGTGTTTCTCAGGTCTTTGACAGGGGATTTAGTCCTCAGGAGTTCATTGCTCAAAAGAAGTAGCAGTGATAGCCCTCCTTAGAACTATGAAGGACTCTCCTGGAAAATGAATAACTGTTATTTCACTCTGTATTAAAGGCAGTTACTCAAAGACCAGTGAAAGAAAGCTAGGCCAGTGTTTGGTCTCTGGATCAAAAGAAATAAGTATAAATCACTAATGCAGTGGCTTTTAGACAGGTAGCCTAGAACCCTCTGTATAAATGAACCATTACATGGGAATCCAGAATACAAAGTAAGAAACTGCAAAGCTGATCCCAATACAGGACAGATGGTTACCGATAACTAGCCTATCGTCCCCAGTCTCCATGTGATGCCCTTCAGGCTTCGAGTGGCACAATTCTAAAAAGCAAAATCTCACAAACAAAAATTGCTGGAAATTGCCACTGTTGCAATCTTGTGTATAAAATGTATTTCTTTAAGAATTAAAATAGCTCTGGGAAGCCTGGCGTTTCATTGCTGAAATTGCTATCTGGAGTGGCTTAATGAGAATCCGGAGATGGAGGTAGCTAATGAGAGACAATTAAGCAGAACTTCCTTAGTAGAGTCTTTGGGACTCCTCTGAGGCTCTCTCTCTTGCCACATGTGTTCCGGGGGCATGTGTCCTCAGCTCGTGAGGCAGAGCTCCGACAGCTCCGTAAATCCAACATGGAGTTTGAGGAGAGGAATGCAGCCCTACAAAAGCATGTGGAGAGCATGCGCACAGCAGTAGAGAAGCTAGAGGTGGACGTGATCCAGGAGCGGAGCCGCAACACAGTCCTACAGCAGCACTTGGAGACCCTGCGGCAGGTTTTGACCAGCAGCTTTGCCAGCATGCCCTTGCCCGGTAATGTTATTCTCCTCGTGCGCTTTCAGTGTCAGGGAGGGCAGGGTAGGGTGGGGTGCTGTTCATATTAATACTGGTACAGGCGTAAATCTCCCCCAAGAAAAAAAGCAATAAAATAAAATTTTCCCCTCAAGATTTTTCTGTGGATCATATTATAGAATGTCCCTGTTCATTAAAATCATCCAAACTTCTAAGCTTTCTGATCATTTAAATGTTTGTCCACATCCATTTTAATATGGCCCATTCCTTTCTATTAGGCTTAATTTCATATTCAGAACAATTGGAGCCAGGCATGGTGGTACATGTCTTTAATCCTAGCACTCTGGAGGCAGAGGCAGGAGGACTTCTGTGAGTTCCCACCCTCTGGGGCTATGTAGTGAGACCTTGACTCTAAATCATCAGTAAACAAACAAACAAACTTGGGGAGAGACAGACAGAGAATGAACCAAATGACAAATCCTAAGGAGGATTTTCCTTGTATTTGGGTTTTAATAAGGAGGAAACCAATACTAGCATTTCTTACATGCTTTCATTTTGATGATAGTCACAACAGAAAACTGGTAGTCTCTAACCTTTGGTTACAAACAGCTCCTCATATACACTGTGTTATGTAGTCCATCTGTTTAGAGTATAGAGATTAGCTTCATATCTTTGAGGTCTAAAAGCCTCTTCTATACAGTGTCTATCTGTGGTGCAAACCACATTAACGTCACAATTTCTTTTGGCATGGATTCTGTTAAATGTCATGTAGGTGAACTAAATGAGAAAAGTTTTCTTACTTTGTCTTCTTATCTCACTTCAGGAAGTGGAGAGACACCAACAGTGGACACCATTGACTCGTATATGAACAGACTGCACAGTATTATCTTAGCTAATCCCCAAGACAATGAAAACTTCATAGCTACAGTTCGAGAGGTTGTAAACAGGCTTGATCGTTAAGCACTGGTGAGTGCTCACTGATAGGATATTTATATGCTAGCCCGTCATCCCAAGGGAGTTGTCCTCAGACCATTAAGGCTGCTAAAACCTAGAATTGCAGTGAAACTGAGGTGGAGGCTGGATTTACATTCCTGTTGCATGATTACTAGAAGTCTTTCTAAATAAAATTAGAAAACTAAATCAAGACAGTTTTGAATGCATGTGTCAGAAGTATTTAATGGAAACAACATGCTTTTTGTTATTGGACCTCAGTTCTAGCTTTGGCCCTTATTTCAGATATTTCCAAAAGGATTTTGAAGACTGTGTGGGAAACTTTAGAAGAAATCACCCCCAAAACAGTACTCAGAACCACAACAACAACAACAACAAAAAAAAACAGCATTCACTTGTTAACCTTTCTCTTTTCTGGTAAATATTAATGATAATTTATAAGTGGTCAATGAGACCTTATATATATTTAATCCTATATAAGTAAGAAGTGATCTTACCACTAAATAGCAGAGTGACCATTGTATGTTAAATTTGATATAAACTAAACTACAGTAAAATAGTTTATGCCTTGATTTTAAAGGTTAAAAAAAAGTCAGGCTTGGTGGCACACCATGGAAGGATGAGGCAAGAGGATTATGAGTTCAAGGTTAACCTGGACTAGCACTATTAAGACCTTGCTGAAAAAGCAAACAAAAGGGGCTAGGGAGATAGCTCAATCAGTAGAAGGTTTGAGGCATTAAGTGTGAGAACCTGAATTCGATTCGATTCCCAGAACCCACATAAAAAAGCCAGGTGTGGTAGCATACAGGTAATCCCAGTACTGAGGAGGCAGAGACAGGTGGATCCCTGGTGCTTGCTAACTAGCTAGCTTAGTCTAATTGGTGAGTTCCAGGCTGATGAGGCACCATGGAGCACAAACCCTAAAAAAAAAAAAAAAAAAAAAAAACAAGGTTGGGGGCTGGAGAGATGGCTCAGCAGTTAAGAGCACTAACTGCTGCAGAGGACCTGGGTTCAAATCCCAGCACCCACATGGTGGCTAACTCCAGTTCTAGGGGATCTGACACCCTCTTCTGTCCTTTGCAGACCCTACACAACACAGGTGTACTACATACATGCAGGCATAACACTCAAAGTTAAAAAATTAATAAATCAAAAAAAATTTTTTTAAAAGCAAGGTGAGGGGCTGGAGAGATGGCTCAGTGGTTAAGGACACTGGTTGTTCTTGCAGAAGACCTGGGTTCGAATCCCAGCACCCACATGGCAGCTAACAACTGTCCATAACTCCAGTCCCAGGGGATCCATCAGCCTCTTCTGACCTCTGTGAGCATTGCATGACACGGGTGCACTTGCCTACATGCAGGCAATACACGCATATACACAAAAAAATAAAAATAATAATTTTTTTTTAATTACTGAAAAAAAAAGCAAGGTGGATGACTCTTGGAAAATGACAACTTCATATGTCCTCTGGTCTGCACATGAACCCACACAAACACCCACCCACATGTACATAGACACGCACACCATGAAACAAAATAAAGCTGGGCATGATAGGACATGCCTGTAATTCCAGCAGTTAGGAAGTAGAGACGGCAAAAATCACTGCAAATTTGAGACCAACCTGGGCTGCATAGTGAGTCCCACCCAAGGCTACATGGTAGGACCCTATCTCAAAAAAAAAAGAAAAAGAAGTAGTAGTATATGTCATGTCCTTTTGGATAAAGGGTATAGGGGCTACAGTTCCAGAGAAGATCCACCCATGCATATTCTTTGATACTAATGGCTAGCCATCAAACACCATTTTTTTATGTGTATGAGTAGGGTTTTTTTGCCTACATGTATGAAAGTATACTTGTCTTTGCAATGCCTGCGGAGGCCAGAAGAGGGTGTGGGATCCCCTGGAACTAGAGTTATAGGTGGTTGTTAACCACCATGTGAGAGTACTGGGAATCAAACCCAGGTCCTCTGCAAGAGCAGCCAATGCTCTTAAATACTAAACTCCAGCCCCCAAATATCATTTCTTAAATGAAACTAGTATTTGTTCACTTAAATTCCCAAAGGTAGGGTGCCTTTTTAGTATGCCATTGCAAAGATTGGCAGCCCTATTGATTAAATCGTTCCACCCTGTAGACATAATTTGTGTGGAAATCTTTGGGTTGGACTACATAATGATGCAGCCATATATTAAAATATGAGTCAGTAGCAGAATGTTCCTTTGAAGTATCATAGAATTGAATCTTTACTTGTCCTCCAGATATAGGGACACCCTCATATCCGTAACTTATATTCTAATTTGGTTTAGACTTTGAGCAACGCTTATAGGAATAAATAAGACCTGTGATTCTTTATCTGATGAGGCAGCATCTGCTAACAAAGACGAAATCACCAATCTTTATCCTTCTTGGTAGAGAGCCCCTGGATGGTAACTGTACAAGACAGTTCATTATGCTTTCGCTTCAGCCATGCTTAAATGAGAACAGGATTACCATGCTTCTAGTGCACAGCCAGATGGAGTGGACTGTACTTCAAGAGATGGCTGGACTCCCTGCAGAGTAAAGACATGGCATCAGTGCTGCTGCTCAGGAAGGGAACAGCTTGTAAATCTAGGCCTGGGATTTTCAGGAGCTCATCTTCCCTCTCATTTTCACATAGTGCTTTCAATTAGCACTCTTTGTAGGCTTGAAAAGAGAGAGCCGGGAGACTCAGCGTGGAAGATCGTGAAAGAAAACAGTAATTGATAACATGGTGTCTCCTCACCTAAGGATAGGGCAGTGAATGCCAAAAATGGTTTTCCACTTTGAACTTTTGCCAGTAAGACTCTTCTACAGCTGTCTACTGTAAGGGTATAAATTTCAGTAGCTGCTCTCAGAAGAGTCTCTGAAAAACCTGTACCATTACCAGTCTCTTTTATTTTTAACCAAAAATATTTTGTCCTTGAAAAAGTACCTGAGAACGTGAACTGTTCTATTACTATAGATTCTTACAATTTACCATGCAAACAACACTAAGAATATATAGTTCCCCCCCCCACAACTGTCAAATGAAACAATTATAAAGACTGTGATTAATGCTAGCTTGGTCTCATTATACAAATATGTACAGACAGCTAGGCCGGGTGTCCCCAGCACTCGTGATGCAATTAATTACTCTGACATGAGCTTGGCAAAGGTTTCATTCTACTGTCAGGAGCCAATGAGTGAAGTGAAGCTAATAGGCTACAAGTTTTAGAGGAGCATATCAGAACTGAAAGGGGCCTTTAGAAATCCAACTAACTCTCTCTCTCTCTCTCT